GAGAGGGGGAGAGGGGGAGGGGGGAGAGAGGGAGAGAGAGAAAGCTGCCAGGTCCGGGTCTCGAACCACTGTTGGCCATGTGGGAGTTCAGCAACCTTAACCACACCAACTGCTGGCCCTGAGGGTACCTTTTCTAACTGTCATAGAGGCACAGAATACATACACTAGGATGTTCTGTCCCACTTCATCCTGATGAATTCCTGATAGCTTTAATTTTGTTGAAGGACCCCATCGTCTTACCTATATGGTATTAATCTCATGGTGGCTTTAAAGGAAAATGGAAAAGAAAACAGATCCATCAGACAGAATTTTGAGCAGCATATCTGGTGCACTTTGCTAGGAAGTCAGTAAATGCACCAGTAGCTGATGTTAGAGACAACATTGGATGGGTATTGGAGTCACTGACCAAAAAGGTTTGGAAAAGACTATGGAGATAGAACTCTCAAGATAGGTTCATAACCTGAAAACTTATTTTTCACTCAAAAGCTCACAGAAGGGCTCAACCTCCTTTTGTTTTTTTTTCTTTAGTTGCCAGAGGGCACATGTACTTGCCAGAGGACAGAGACAGAGAGTGGGAGAAAGCACTTCCTGCAGTGGGGCATGGTGACTCTACAATCCCTTTTTCTCCATTTTTTACCCTGTTAGGATTTGGGGTGTGTGTGCACTTGGGTCTGGTGTCTTCCTCAAGCTGCTGGGGTCAGGTTGGAATCATGATAGGCCATGTGGGATCTGGCTCCCTTAAACACTAGGTATGAGGCTGACTCAGGGGATTTTATTTTTTAAATAAAAGCTTTCCTAAAGATGATTGAGAGGTGGCAGGAAACAGAGGTTAGAGTAATGCTCAAGTGCACTCATTAATCATGTGGCTCCCTGTTGGTAGCTGACAAACTTCTACAGGGAGAACAAGTCAGTGACTAACATAAGTCTTTGGGGTTATCACTGAAATCTTGCCTACTATGGGTATACATACTTTTTAAGAAGATCCTTTAAAAAAAAAGTTATTCATTATCATTCCTCAAAATCAAGTCTCTACTGCACTTAGCGTTATAACTGACACTGGGTCACTTGGAAAATGGAGATATGCATTATTTAAGGCATTTATTGACTTACTAGAAAATCTGGGAAGAAAATTTCTTTGTCAGGTGACAGGTCATCTTATTTTGTCTCTAGACTTTAATATAAACGTACCCTTTATGTACTTACACGTGCCTAACCATGATGGCCCAATCACGATGTCCCAACAAGGAAAAGTGAAAAATTCAGTAACTGTTCCAGACAATTGCTGACCTGTTTATATTGGCAGTGATTATCCTTGTCGAAGACAAAATAGAATATTCTGGGCAATCATTTCCTAAAGCCAATTTTAAGTTTAGCTTGGAATGTTTTCTCTATTACTATTTTGCCAGGATTCAGGGGTGGGTAATGGTGAGAGGCAAGTTTATTATTATTATTATCATCATCATCATCATCATCTTCTTGCTTGTGTGTTCACATTAGCCAAGAGTGAGGGAAGTAATCAACTTGTGTCTGGCTATTGGCTAATCTGCTTATGCAATTGCTTCTGCTATTACTGAAAGCCAAGAGGGTGGAAATGATCCAAGGTAAAACATTATTTAGCAGAGACCTACAGTGGTGTGCCTTCAACTTCAAAAGCAAATTACTTTTCCATGTTCTGAGCCTAGATTTCAATATTTTCCTCATTAACTCTGGACCATGGTTTGAGAACAAATTGCTCCAGACTGAACCAAATTAAGGTCAAGCCTATTTTCACACCTGAAAATTAGGACGTTCTTTAGAAATATAAGCTGTCAAAAATCCAGTCCAGATAGTATTTCTAAACATGTGTCTTGGATTTAGTCATGTCTAGGTCGTTCTGGAGAAACAACATGGCAGCAGTACTAGTGCTTGTGTACTGGAATGTTGTGATTTTGGTATCAAGACCACATAAACCACAAGACAGACATCCTGAACAATATTCACCTCTGTTATTGTCTGCTTTAAGAAACTAGAATCAGTGCTAAGAAGTGGAAGGCAGAGTATAACCAAAGACCCAAGAAATAAAAATAAAGTAAAAAAGAAGATAGGGTCAAGCAAATGTTATGAATTATGTCCTTTCATATAGCCATGGCTAGTCTGCGTAATAAGTGGTCAGCAGCAGCAGCATTAAAAAATAAGTTTACTGGTTTGTTGCTTTCATCATGGGGAAGCCATAAAACATGGTCATAAAGTCCTCTTTCAAAAATCGTCTGTGGTCTATTTTCTAAATAGAATTGAGGCAGAAATCTACAGGAAGATAGGTTCTCAGATTTTCTTTTTTAAGTGTGTTTATTTTTGTCATTAGAGAATACATATATTTAATTTTTAATGGGTACCCAGATAATGGACAGGATGGGAAGGTGGTGGAAAATGACGGAATGTAGTTTATCACCACTATCTGGGGTGGTACTACCCATTGTGGTAGCCATGGGCCACCTGGGACTATTGACCACTTAAAATGTAGCTAATGCACCTGGGGAAGGGACATTTTAATTTAAATTAAAAAATGGAAACTCAATTTAGAAATTGACAAACAATTCATTTTCATCTTTATTCAAGTTTCTGGAACTTAGTTTAGGCTTATTATCCATCACTGGGGCTCTTGCTATTGCTTCTTAACCTTGTTCCTATTCCTAATCTTACACTCTGTGTGAAGCCAGTCTCCAAAGAGCTGCCAGTTAAAATTTCAACTTTGTTTTTTTAAGTATAAAAGACAAACAGAAAAGTCCATTGTAAGTAAACACTCTGATGTCTTACAAAGTGAACAGAACTTAGTAAACAACCAACCAAGTAAAACAATAAGAACACTAAGTACCCCCATTCACGATCCCTTTTGGTGTCTTCCCCTTTCCTTCTCCTTCCAAGGTAACAATATCCTTACTTCTACTACCATAAATTAGCTTTGCCTGTTTTATATAAATGGAATCAAGAGTGTGCATTCCTTTGTGTCTGGTTTGTTTTCCTTAGTATTATGCTTGTGGAGTTCATCCAATGTTGTACTGTGTATCTAGAGTTCATCCATTTTCACTGCTATATACCAATTTAGTATATAAATACCCACAATTTATTTGTTCATTGTACTCTTCATGGACATTTTGGTTGTTTGCAGTTTTAGCCTAAAACTGCTTTGAATATTCACAAATGTGTTTTTGTGCACATGTTTCTGCAGCACTGATGGCTAGCAGAGTTACTGGATAATACAATATGCATATTTAGAAGATACTGCCTATTTCCCAAAGTAGTTTTTTTTTTAATCAATTTACATCTCTATGAGTGGTGTATGAGTTTACTCACCAATATTTGATATTATCAATCTTTCTACGTTGCCTCATTCTATGAATATTTAATGTTATACTGTGTTTTTTTTTTTTGCATTTTTGATAAGGTTCAGTATATTTCACATAAAATGTTTATTAGAAATTTGTCTTTTAAAGTGCCTGCTCAAGTCTTTTGCTCATTTAAAAAAAAATTTAATTAATTTTATTCATTCATTTTTAAAATTGATCAGACACATACACACACACACAAAGAGAGAGAGAGAGAGAGAGAGAGAGAGAGAGAGAGAGAGAAAGCCACCAGGTCCGGGACTTGAACCATGGTCAGCCATGTGTGAGTGTCCAGTGCCTTAACCACCACACTGCCTGCTGGTCCCAACTTCTGCTCATTTTTCTAGGCATTGTCTGTCTTTCTTTTACTGATTTGTGGTCTTTATATATGAACTATATGTTTTCCATTGTTGCTTTGTTTTTCGTTCTTAAAGCTCTTTGATGAACAGAGGATATTATTTTAATAATTTATTTCATCATTGATATCTTTCATGACCAAGGTTTTTTTGGGCCTGTTTGCTAAATCTTTCCTTACTCTTAGGTTTTGAAGATATTTTGCTAGTAATCTTTTAGAAGTTTTATTTTGCTTTTCAGTTTTGATCTACAGTCACACCTGAAATACAATTTTGTAAATAGTGTGAGGTGAGGGCTAAGCTTTTCCTTTCGATGATTATCCAGTTGCCCCATTGTAATTTATGAAAAGA